ACTGTGCTGTCTCTTTGCTGTTCTGCATTTGATATGAAGCATTGTGTATGTGTCAAATGTCATTACTAATAATAGTTATTTATTAAAATATGATGCAATCATATAAATGGATCTTTTCTTTTAATGTCTTTCTTTGAGAATGGCCATAGCCAGTATTTGTCATACATATGTAACATTTTGCTATTTCAATTGAAGATGTAGCCAAAAAGTAGGAATTTTACTTCTATTCTGCATTTTATGAATAGCCTGCAGGGCTTTTTTTTTGTCTGAAAGAAGGCATCATAATGAGCAGTCCTGCAGTCTTTGACTTGAGCTCCTTCTAACTGTGAAACCACAGAAATTTTTTTCCTCTATTAGTAGTCTCCTACAGATTGCTTTTACTGTCCTTCAGAGGGACAGGCAGTCTCAAGGATCCCTTTCCTACCAGGAGTCATAGTGGAAAAACAAGAGATTTCTTTCATGGCTGGCATGTGTGTCCGAGTTCATTGCCCTCCTTCTGCCAGGAATGTAGAAGTTGAATGCTGGAGAGTCTGGAACTCAAATCTCTGGGACAGTGAAGTTATTAAGAGACTCCTGATAACTGTAAACTGGCCAAGCAATTGCCATTAAAGGTCTGAAGAGATAATGTACCTTGGACTAAGATCTCACTGTAACAATTTATGCTTGTTAAGATTCCCAGAAGCTGTAGAACATGGCAGAACTTATGCAGAAAATACATTCCATTTATAATCACCAGAGAATTAACAGATACACACTGAACGAGCATTTTCATTACTGGTCCAGGCCCTGATGCTATCTGTTTGTAGGAAGTCAAGAATAGGAAAACTGTGATGAAGGGAAAAATTGCCTGTAATTTGCATCCTTCAAAGCTCTTAATAGGGAGGTATGTTAAAACAATATAATTGCAACTGAGTTCAAAAGAATCTGAAGTGCCATCTGTCCCACCATTTATTTTTGATGTGAAATATAAAAAGATGACTTGATAGGTACTGTACAGACAGAGAAGCTGAATTCGTTTAGAGGAACAAACATATTTTGTCTGTATGGCAGTAAAGCAATACTTCTGGCCACATGTCTCCTTTTGTATTTTTTTCTGCTGCTCAACACTGTCATTTAAAAATTGATTTAAACTTTGAAACTGTTCCTGGTTTAAATTTTGCATTCTCCACCAGATTAAGTTACAGTGCAAACTCAGATTTCTTTCTGAAGGAAAAGTGGAGGCTCTCGATTATGTAAAGAAAATCCTCAGTTAAGATGTGTAATGTATTTTAATTGAAGATGAAACAAAATTTGGAAATGCTTCCAAATGAGCATCATTTTAGAGATCTCTGTTCCCAAGTATAAGATGACTTCTTCAGGATTTCTAGTGTAGGAGGATTATAACAACATGGGATGGACTGGCAGTGGTGATGCTCAATGATAGATCAGGAAGTGAGTATCAGTGGGTGACCAGGAGGAAAGAAATGTTTGCCCTATAGAAAATAATAAGGCAGCATTTCAAAGATACAAATTTTTTTTGTTAATTAGTGGATGAAATCTGCTTTTCTCATGACTTGGGTTGGTTAAATTGAAAACAGTATATATTCAGTCATTTAAAGAGCAGTTTTGTACGACAGACAGTAGCTTTCACAGGGCAACCCTGTTGCACTGAAACTGTTTTGTCTGTGTGAGATTTTACATGAGATGACAAGCGTGTTTAATTACAGTGACATACCGTTAATCAAATATAACCTGCATGTCTACTGAAAGATAAGCTGAGCTGTGGTCTTTATTCCACTGACTGTATTGACTAGCTCTTCATTACCAATCTTTGTTATAGAAGCTTAGACATTTTATTTCTACGTGGGCGTACAAAATTAGATGCTTTAATCTTGAACTATATCCCATATTGAGTATCTGAGACGAGTGTAGTTCTGAAAGATGTGGGCAAAGTGTCCTTGCCTAGAAGCATCCACATACCCTTAGTTTGCTGCAAAGGATCTGATGCTGGTGAGATTCAAGGTGGGAAGAGCAGCATGTGAGCTTGTTATTTGGATTTCCTGCCCTGCCTGGAAATATTGTGTTGGCATTTGAAAACTTAAGTTGCAACTTAGTAAGTGTATTTTCCTGTACACTATATAGTACCTGTAAAAGGCAATCTCTCCAGCAAACTGCGTGCAGTAATGGTTGTAAAGCCTGTATCTTCACTCTGAAGTGATGACAAGCCCAGCAAGCTCACTTAGCTGTAGTTCAGGCTCAAAGCACCTACACTGTTTAGGAAAAGCAGTGCTTAGTGTGCCTAGCCCTGTCTCTGTCAGCAAAATGAAAAAAAGCGTGAGTATGTATTCTGGTAGTTGTGGACTCAAGTTTCCCTCTGCTTAAGGAGAGCTGAGGCTGACTGCTGAGTATGAGCTTGTAGTCAACCATATGCATGTTTGGTTTGTCTGTAATGGAGACTGACAATGCAGACATACCTAGTAAAAACAGGAGAATTACCCTTGGATTCTGAACAATTCTGTTAGAAAAAAATTCATGTTATTCATATTGCCTATGTATTGTCATCTGGGCACCATAAATTTCTCTTGACAGTTTTTCTAACCTATAAATACTGCTTTTTATTTCCACACTGATGCTGTTTTCCAACCAAGATAGGTGCTTTTCAGTAACTGAACATTTCTATTTGGTGCATAAAGCATTGTGGTCTTCCAGACTTTATTAATAAAACCACCTAAGTTTTGAAGATTGGCTTTGAAAGGAGAGAGAAAAGTAGTTTTATTGTGAGGCCATAAAATATGATTGATTCTCCCTGTATTTCCAGGTACTCCCATTGGAAAACAGAATGAAGGACAACACGCGTTTCCCACAGGTGCTGAACATTGGCATGGGAATTGTCATGACCTTGTATATCTCACTGGCCACTCTAGGGTATCTGCGCTTTGGGGATGAAATCAAAGCCAGCATAACTTTAAACCTACCACAAGATATATGGTAAGTGCATATGTGACTTAAAACCACCAATCTAGAAGGCAGAAATGCTGCAAAGTTGTTCCATGCCTCAGTGGTGTCATGCTTATAACTGATAGGTGCTCAAACTCTTAAAAAAACTATACTGTACATACTGTCTCGGTGCCTTCTACAGTTGAGCTGTGTTCCTAGCTAGCATAGGATATCTTTGCATATTGAAAGGAATTGTGTATGGAAACAGATCAATGGTCTTTGTAGCAGAGTATTCCATCTCTAGCGGGAGGTAGCTGCAGGTGTACTGAAGGAGGGAATATGTGATTTGCAACCAGCTATACTGCAGTTCTGAAACCAGCTGGTTTTACCTTGGATACCCTGGTAGTATAGTGGCCTTTTTAGTGGAATCAATGAGTTTAGCAGGTAAAAAACTGCAATAGAAGATATCAAAGCTAAATTGATCTGTAGTTCAGATGCAAGTCCATGGATAATGTATGATAGTGGCTTCCTGTGCTTGCTGATGTCTCAGGGATATTATAATTTTTATTTAGCTTTTTTATTAAATGCTACTAGAGCTCCACATGTCATGCTGAAGAAGTGCTTAAGACTATTTCAACTGGTGCACTGTGAGTTTTGTATCTACAGATAGATATATACTGTAACTATTAATTTAAATATAACTCTTCATTTTTTAGTGCCTTTATGTCTGATGGGCCTAAAATTAGGTGTATCAGCAGTGCACAAGTGCAAAAGCTGAAAAGTATTTTAATGTTTTCATTCTGATCAAGTAATGTCTTACATATAATATGCTTACATCTTGTTATTTGGTGTCTGTTGTGGTGGGGTATTGAAGCAGTGAAATCTCAGATTATGTGAAACAAAAACTGCTTTGCTGAACTGAACACAGAGTCCTTTTTTTACTCTTTGAAAAAAAGTATATAACATTTAAAGAGTGTTTCCAGTTTTCAAGAGTTGTTTTTCACTCTTTTTCCCATTTTTATTCCTTAGAGTCAGTATGAGCTACGCATTTTTAATGTTCGTCAAAAGCTTTGTTTAATTGCCTGACTGATTCCAATGACAAATACATGAAATGATAAAATGCATCTTGGATGAATGCTTTTTGATTGCTAGAATTTTCATGTATCTATTGTTGCATTTTTGCATGCTTAGTTTTTGTACTGCTGTTATAAAAATTGAGATTTGGGCCTAAATGCTTTTGCCAGTTTTGTTGAATTTTTTTTCCTATCTTTTCCTATGGTTCTGGTTTTTGAGGCATATTGCTCATAACTCATTTGATTGTGTCCTTTCATTGGACATGCATTAAAAAAACAAGAGGTATTCAAACATTGCTATAAGCAATTCAGTCTCACCTTTGTGCCTGACAAGATCATTGAGCAGATCCTCCTGGAAACTGTGCTACGGGACATGTAAAGTGAGGTGACTGGTGACAGCCAGCGTGGCTTCACTAAGGGCAAATTGTGCCTGACAAATTTGGTGGCCTTCTACAATGGGGTTACAGCAATGGTGCATATGGGAAGAGCAACTGATGCCATCTGCCTGGACTTGTGCAAAGCATTTGACACTGTCCTGCATGGCATTCTTATCTCTAAATTGGAGACATATGGACTTGATGAATATGAATTATTGGATAAGGAATTGGCTGGATGGTTGCAGTCAAAGAGTTGCAGTCAATGCCTCAATGTCCAAGTGGAGATAAGTGATGAGTGGTGTTCCTCAAGTGTTGATATTGGGACCGACACTGTTTAACATCTTTGTCAGGGACATGAACAGTGGGATAGAGTGCACCCTCAGCAAGTGTGGTGATCACACAAAGCTGTGTGGTGTGGTCAGTGCTGGAGGTAAGGGATGCCATCCGGAGGGACCTTACCTGACTTCAGAGGTGGGGCTGTACAAACCTTATGAAGTTCAGCAAGGTCAGATGCAAGACCCTGCACATGGGTTGGGCAATCCCAAGCACAAATACAGGTCGGGTGGAGAACAGATTGAGATCAGTCCTGAGGAGAAGGGCTTGTGGGTGCTGGTTGATGAGAGGCTCAACATGAGCCAGCAGTGTGTCCTTGCGGCCCGAAGGCCAACTGTATCCTGGACTGCTTGAAAAGAAGTGTGACCGGTAGGGCGAGGGAGATGATTCTGCCCCTCCACTCTGCTCTTGTGAGACCCCACCTGGAGTACTGCATCCAGTTCTGGGACCCCCAACATACGAAGGATGTGGACCTGTTGGAGAGAGTACAGAGGAGGACCACAAAGATGATCAGCAGCATGGAGCACCTTCTCTATGAGGACAGGTTGAGAGAGCTGGAGTTGTTCAGCCTGGAGAAGACTCCAAGGAGACCTTATTGCAGCTTTCTACTACTTACAGGGGGCCTGCAGGAAAGCTGCGGAGGGACTCTTTATCAGGGACCTGGACAGGCTGGAGAGGTGGGCCCATGCCAACCTCTTAAAGTTCAACAAGGCCAAGTGCAAGGTCCTGCACCTGGGTAGGGGCAATCCCAAGGACAAATCCAGGCTGAGTGGAGGATAGCTCAAGAGCAGTCCTGAGGAGAAGGACTTGGGGATGTTGGTCAATGAAAATGTCAACATGAGCCAGCAATGTGCGCTTGCAGCCCAGAAGGCCAACCGCATCCTTGCTGCATCAAAAGAAGTGTGGCCAGCAGGGCGAGGGAGGGGATTCTGCCCCATTTCTGTGTTCTCGTGAGGCCCCACCTGGAGTACTGTGTCCAGTTCTAGCCCCCCAATACAAGAAGGACATGGGGCTGTTGGAGCACATCCAGAGGAGGGCCACAATGATGGATCAGAGGGCTGGAGCACCTCCCCTGCAAGGACCAGCTGAGAGAGTTGGGGCTGTTCAGCCTGGAGAAGGGAAAGCTCCAGGGACACCTTATTGCAGTCTTCCATTTCCTGAAGGGGTCCTACAGGAAAGCTGGGGAGGGACTTTTTACAAGGGCAGGTAGCGGTAGAATGAAGGAGAATGATTTTAAACTGGAAGAGGGTAGATTTAGACTAGATATTACGAGGAAATTCTTTACTGTGAGGGTGGTGAGACACTGGCATAGGTTGCCCAGGGAAGCTGTGGATGCCCACTCCCTGGAAGTGTTCAAGGCCAGGTTGGACAGGGCTTTGGGCAACCTGGTCTGGTGGGAGGTGTCCCTGCCCATGGCAGAGGGGTTGGACTGGGTGATCCTTAAGGTCTTGTCCAACCCAAACCTTTCTGTGATTCTGTGACTCTGTGATTACTGCATTCATTCTGTCTATATGATGCATGTGAAAGGAAAAATAGTTCTGTTTGTAATATTACATGGTATTGCTCATTGTTGATATGATTAGGGAAAAGTTTCTTTAAAATGGTAGGTCTGGATTTATTTACCTTAAGAGAAATGCCCTTAGAAAAGGAGGAAGGAGAGGAATGGGGAATATAAGGTTAAGTTGCTCACTCACTCTTTGTTCCTTATTGCACTCATGCAAGCAACGGGATGCACTGTATTCTGATTTAATGTTCTGCTTTGTTCTGTAGCCCTGCTGCCTAACAGGGCTTGTCAAATAGGAGTTTTCAAATAGCTCTTGGCTGCAGTGAAGAGGTGATAAGTTGATATTTATCCTGATGGCTTTACAGACGTAATGCAAAAAAAGAGACAATAAAAGAGATGGAAACTGGTGTTTTATAAGGTGGAGAATTGACATTATGGGTTTAATAAACTCAAAGCTGCTCAGGGCACATATGTTGAGATAACAAAGTAAGCTGTTTTCACCTTACCCTGGATAGTACCCCAGAGCACCAAATGAAATTAGGAGAAGCAGCTGAGTGGTACGCCCATGAGTTGTGATGTGTGATGCTATTGCTGCGCAGTGCTGTGGGTCTACCTGATACAGGACTGAACAAATGTGTGCATTTAACTGCGCTAGCAAAACAAATTTCTGGTGAACCATATGACAATATTTTGTTATTTGGTATTCGCATACAACGTCAGTAAGTGGTCAGATTGAATTAGAGAAATGCGAGGAGCGGACGAGTTTTTATAAGAAAGTGGTCATGTGGAAGACCCTGGAATATAGCAAAGCACTGAGACTTGGCTTGTATGTTTAATTCCAGCTGGACAATCCCTGTCTTAAAAAATAAGCTTTTCCTGATGAAGAAAATTAAAATTCTGCTGCTTTCTGCATTCTGTTTGATGTTTTTACAGATGAATTGACCGGAAAGAATACACAGGCCCTAGACCAGTTAAGGCCTTAAATTTAAGGCCTTTATAACTGCTTGTATTCTAAAAACATTCTGATGAATCAGAGCTTTTGAGAAGAAATTTGTTGCAGTTCAGTTCAGAATGTGTTTTGGAGCACAAATCATTGGTCAGCATAATACATTGATTAGAATATGTTGAAAATTGACCATCAAAAGAGTAGTGTTCAGCTATTTTTTTGCTGATCTTTAATGACAACTTCTTTCTGTAATAAAGGAATTCTACGTTACCACATTAAATAACTTTTAATATTTTACATGCAATTATGTTTAGCTGTCTGGAATATCTTAGTAACTCTTTTTCATATCCTCAGAAGTCTGCAGAGTACCTAGTGACGCAAATCTTTTTACTCAGTTTGTTGCTGACTGAGGAGAGGACACACAGGCACAGAGTACAGTTTACCTGTGATCACAAGGTACCTCCTGACTGAAGCCAAGGAGGGACTCAGACTCCATTTGCCTCAATCAGCACGTATTTATAGACAAAAAGTGCGTAATGATTGTTGTGTGACCATCAGCTCAAACCAAATCCTGTGGCATCTGCAAATACAGATTACTCGAAATTCTGCTTTAGTAGTTAGTGTCCTTTACTGTGGTTTTTTGGATTCATAGAGTGGTTTGGGTTGGAAGGGACATTAAAGCTCATCAAGCCCAAGCCCCTGCCATAGGCAGGGACACCTCCCACCAGACCAGGTTGCTCAAAGCCCTGTCCAACCTGGCCTGGAACACCTCCAGGGAGGGGGCATCCACAGCTTCCCTGGGCAACCTGTGCCAGTGTGTATCACCACCCTTATAATAAAAAACTTCTTCATTGTCCTTGGCTGGAGTCTCATCTTCAGTCTGAAGGTTCTTTCCACAATCTGTTCTTTGTTTAGATGTAAGTGACAGTCTTTGTGCAACAATTCCCATACTATGAATCTCAAAGGTTAACTACCTTACAAATACAGTGTATTAAAATTCAGCAAGAAGTTACATGGTACTAGTTCAAGTGGTAGCTTAGCATGATTAATGCCCTATTGAGTCTGCTTGTATTGATAGGCAAGTTTTGTTACACTAGTTTCCATTTTTTTCCCTTAAAAGAGGTACAACAAAATCTAAAATGTAGAATTGAGCACATATGAAGGATTTAGAAATTTTTTACAAGGTAGCCTAAGGAGTCATCTTATCTATACTTTGATGACATGCAGAGTGGAATAACACTAGAATGGAAAGAGGTTAATGAGAACAGAAATTCTTCCCTCTTCTTAAAAATGTAGCTTGTGCCTTTTACCTGTCTGTGCAGAGATAATTTAACTTTTTATGTAACTGATTTCTTGGAGTGGTGCAAGACAGCAGCTTGTGTTTGTCTGGCACAGGATTTAAAACCATCCTAAAGTAGCTTTACAACATAACACACAATCTCTTGGAAAAAAATCTCTCATCCCTAAAATTTTTGTATAATTACAGCAGCTCTGGCCCTGTATATTAGGAAAGACATTCCTGCATCAAAGTGAACTCTCTTTTACCTGCATATACATTCTTTTTCCAATGTCTTTTTGTTAGTAATGTATCCTGCCAATGTACCACTGGCATAAGGTTGGCACAATTTTGAGCTGTAAAACTTGATTCTCCTTTGTGTTGCTGTAAATCCCATGATATGGTACAGTAATGTACCATTTGTGTTCTGTGCCTAGCAGTTTTGAAGAGGAGGGTGTGCACAGCAAGAGAATTTGGTTATGGATATTTTCTAGCAGTAGAAGATAGTCCTTCCAATTTTAATAAGTGAAGTTTCCTGAAATGGCCTCTTCCCAGTGTGAAAAGTCTTTTTAGGAACACTTCATAAATGTGCAGAAATTTGGAGGATATTTGCATTGGTCTTTAAAATGTCCAGTGTTTACTGCCGCAGTGAAAGGTTTATCAGTGTACAGATTATATCTGTCTGATGTGAATTTGGAATTTTCTTTTCCCAAATAACTGTCTACTGTAGAACCTGTTCTTCTTTAAGTTTATTCATTTATGATTACATAATACTGTGGGTTTTTTTGTCCATATTTTGGTGATATGCTTATCTTCTGCAGTTTCACAGGCGGTTATAACTTGTATGCAGATTATGTTATCTTCTTGTTTGCTGGGAGGAAATAATATATACACACACGCCTGTATATGTGTATATATATCCTTAGTGCCATTAACAAGCTGATTTTTTTAAAAGAAAACTGCAAATTACGTGAATATGTGTAACTGTTTTGAACAGGTTATATCAGTCTGTAAAAATTCTGTACTCCTTCGGAATTTTTGTGACCTATTCGGTTCTGTACTACGTCCCTGCGGAGATCCTCATTCCAGCCATCACCTCCAAAGTGCAGCAGAAGTGGAAGTTACTCTGTGAGCTTGTGGCGAGAGCACTGTTAGTCTGCTCAACCTGTAAGTATGTGCAGAACATCCATAAAAAAGCTTGCTTTTACATGTTGTTGAGGCTTTCTTATTTAAATACGTGATTTGTTATTTATCTTTCCAGAGGCTAGCAAACCTGAAATTTTGTTTCAATGATTCAGTATGTTTTGGCTTTCACAAAAAAGTGAATCTAATGTTGTATTTGTATTTTAACCACATGGTGTGACCAAATATTTGATAACCATATCTTTTGCCAATAATACTCTGAAGCTGCCAACTTGAAAATAATTTTCTTAAAATAAAAGTTTTTAAGTAATAGATGCACATTGCTATTTCATGTCAGCATTTCTCTGTGTGATCTGCAGTATGTGATGCTCATGGAGAAATCTGTTTTGTCGATCTGAGGATTAAGCCTAAGGTGTGCTCAGTATTCATAAAATAGCACTGGCAAACATGGATGCCAGATCAGAGTGTTCATGGAAGGCCACTTATTTTAGGTATTAATACTCCAAAGTAGTTTTATGTCTCTGCCCTCATTGTCTATTACTACTTTTGTTTTTCTCACTTGACCCCTATGCTTGCCGTCCCTCCTGCTGTGTCCCTGTCTTTCTCACAGCTAGGCTAAGTACTATAGACACTTGTAGTAATCAGCAGTGCTCACTGAATGATGAGGATGGTCTCGTCTAGGAATTGGTAATCCTGAAGATCATGAACTGAGGAGGGAGTTTAGGTTTCCAGTAGCTCCCATCAAAAATCTTGAATAGCATAGAAAGCCTTTCTTGAAAATGTTAGAAAAAAAATTCAAGTACAAAGCTGGCTTCATGACTCCATCGTTTGTACTGAAATGAGTTGTTTACCTTAAAAAAAATCAGAACTGCAAAACAAGCCAAAAATGTTAAACCTTGTTTTTAGAGGGAAAATATTGATGGAAAAGTAGAGTTTAGTGTTTGCTGGCTCTGATCCCTTGTTGAGTATTGACTGAAGTGCTGACAGCACGTCTTGGTGTCGTGAGGCCAACTTCCACTCATTTTCTGTTGCCCTTTGCATGCCGCTTATAACGGCAACGATACCACAATACACTGAAAAAGCTAAAATTCTTGTAGATCCAAACTGTTGTTTGCAGCTGAAGGTTTTGAGAGTTTATAGGTGAAAGATGCTTTCAGAGATGTGCCTGATGAGAAGGGACTGTGGTGAATAGGTTTAAAGCCACATTTGTCTGTTTGACTTTCGATAATTATGAATGACTCCAAGATACTGATCTCTAGGTGTGGGTTTTTTTCTCCATTTTATTATTGGACTTTGTAATTATTGGGTAGTCTGTGAAGGTGAAACTGGGGAACAGTCTCCAATAAAAGGAAAAAGAAAAAAAAATTAGCTTTAAAATCTGGAAGAAGAGTCTGTGAAAGCTGGAACAAAAAGAAAGCAAATCAGAGGTGGGGTACATTGTGAGTGGGACTTGAAAACAGAGTGATTGCCAACTGGGTATAATGAACTACAGTTGAGTGAACTGGGATAGGAAGAATGTAATCCAGCATGAATTGTGGTGAGTCCCTTTTTGCCAGAGGTATGTTGACATGTATTCTTTCTTCTTTTTGTTTTCATACAATTGTACATTGTGATTTTTTCAGATATTTTTTCATTTTTAAACAGCAGGTAATGGTCTTTCTTTTCTGAAGGCATAATAAATACTTTAAAATTGTCAAGTATAAAGTGAGTGTTATATCTTTATTTCTTTGAAACATTATGTGTAGTAAAATTGGACCTGGTTTGTGACATTGAAACTCACCTGTGATGTGAATCTCTAAAAAGTGGACCTGCTGAAGTGTTACAGGTGTTACTGGGATATTTCAGCATATTGAATTGTTTGCTGCAAGGCACAGAAAAGTAAAATTAAAAGTTTGCTCTTAAATGTTTGATATTTGCCAGGCTGTTTTGTGATATGTTGTATTTATCCTAGTTGTCTTTTCACGTTTTTTTCCAAGTGGTTTCTCCAAAGTGCATTCGTGCAGTATCTGTGATACTTTTTCACCAGCAGTGGAGTGTGTTACGCTCCTATGCTCACACTCACCTTCTGTTTGTCATTTTCCATTGAAGCACTGGTTATAAACAGAATTTATTTAAATAATGTTTCATTTTTACTAAGTGCAGAACGTGGTTCCTAAAATGGTTCAGAAAGTGTTTCTTTAATAGAATGAAAAAATCCAAAGCCTTTTAAATTGAGTTTTAAAAATGGAATTATTTTGGTATCGGTGACAGAATATGTTGTAATGTCTGGACTGTTCAGAGGTCATACACTGATTAAAGAGACTCCGTTTGCTTGAAAATAAATCTCTGAAAAGTGAAACTTGAGCTGTGTTGCTAATAATGCATTAGCTTTTTAAGAGAACACTTGAAAATTCAGTTATTACTAATTTTGGGGGCTTTTGCATTACTCAAATAAGAATTACATCATTGTTTTATAATTGTGGTGTATCAGAAACTTTGACATACCCTGGAGTGTTGTTTGTTTTTTGGTTTGTTGCTGTTGGGTTTTTTTTTGTCTGGTAAAGTTTGTTTTATGACAAATGGCTGGAGGTGTAACATAGATCCAAAAAACCATGTGTGTTGCTTAGGGATTTTCATTATTTACTTGCTTGCTTTTGGGCACTTAAGATTTCAGGAGGATGATCGCAAGAATATTAAATATTCTTTAGATTTGCTTGTTCTGCTTCCTCTGCTGCTGTTTCACCGAAGAGATCTTATCTGGAGCAAGCAATGCAAAATACACGTGACCCCTGTGGCACCAGTCCCAGCCCAGCCTTCCAGCTCGGGGCAGGGGAGGGTCGGACCCAGGCACTGGGAGGTGCGTGGCTGGGCTGGGTGTTTTCGCTCTGCGATTAGGTCAGACTTGGCTGACTCTGCCAAGGAGCAGTGAGATCACCTGGACTTTTTTCTAGACAGAATTGAAAGCTGTCTAGCTGCTCTAGACAGTGAAAGCTGTTCAAAAGATTGGTTTTTACCTATTGGAAAGGAAGTTACAAGTAGATTTGAGAACGTTTGCAGTAGCTGTCTGAAATGTCACATCTGTTTGTGGCAGCTTTTTCAAGACTCTGACGTGCTGTTATTCAAGGTGATAGCAAATACTAAGGAGTATTTTGGGTAGGAGAGGGCTGGACTGATAGAAGCATGCTTTTGCTTTAGTTGTAGCCCCTTGTTTGTACTTTTTGAATGGAAACTGTGAGTGCAAATGACTTGACAGACCTTGTTCCCTACTGCTTCTCTCCCTTCTTCCAGTTTAGTTTAGTGTTAAAATAGCATTTTAGCATTGCAGATACAATCATCCCAGTCAGGTACTTTTTAATTTAAGAAGGAGGGATAGAAGTTTCTGCTTTATTTGATATTGAGTACTTAATTTCATTTGCAAGAGATACATCTCTTCATCCTTGCTTGGATTTCACTGTGTATGGTGTAGTGAGTTGGAAGAACACACCATACTTCATAAATCATAACACTAAGCTGTTGTTTTACAAACTGAGATGAGCATCTTGTGCACTGACTGGAGGGATAAGCTAGGCTTCTGTCAAAAGTCCAGACTAGAGCTGGAGACTGGGTTTGGTAGTTGTTCAAAGCAGGTGGGAGCTAGCCTTGTAGCTATTTAGGCACAAATATGATTGAGAGCTGGACTAAGCATCGCTGTGGGGCACAGAGTCAGAAATTAGGAACACATACAACCAGAAGGAATAGGACGGGAGCCACCATAGGAAGCGCTGAGAAGAGACGTGAAGGTGCAGTGTTGTGTGGATGCTGACTGGTTGTGCTTGGAAGTTCATCGCTACAGGAGCCTTAAGGATCTCCAGCTGCTGCCTGCAACTCAGTCTCTGCCTGGTGACTGCCAGCTTTGTGCTTTGGTGGCTCAGTGCAGCGCTGCACGATGGTTAGGGGCACTCCTTGTAAGACATAAGAGGACAGAAAAATCTATCTGACTGTGCCCAAATAGTACCATCACATCCTTGTAGTTTCAGTAGATTCTGTTACTCTTGCATATGCATTTTTATTTGAAGTGTAAATGCTTTTCATTTCTATTTTTCACAGATTTTACTTAGTGTTTGTGGTATTTGAATGTTAGAGAACTTCAGTACTTTGAAGTATTTGTTAGGGTAGAATTTTTATAATGTTGAAAGTATTTACCCTGATGTTTTATCTTTAAAACATGTCAACAAAAATAGTTTGGATCTGCATTTGCTGCATCTGCTTAGATAAAGGTTGGGCACCATGTCTATGGTTCAGTCCTTAGCCGAGCCAATTCATGGGGTGGGATTGTGGCTACTGCACATTGGGATTAACCATTTGAGCGTGAAGCTTAGTTTGCTTCTGAAGGAACTGGACCACTCTGGCTAAATTTTTAAAAGCTTTGTTAGTATCTTTACATATAGTTGCTGAACAGCATCGACAAATACAATGGAGAAAACTGGAGCTGAGAGTTAATTGTATCTTTCATCTACACGAGGAATATAGATATTTTTAATAGCTTAATTTACAGCTGTATTCCTGCAGCCACAATGCTTCTGTTAAAATGAAAATTAAGAAATACTGTATTTGAATGTGGATGTGGAGATTTCGGTTGAATTGTCAGCTGTTTTGATTGTTAGCTTGAAAGGAAACAAATTTAATTGAATGGCTGATCCAGCTGAGCGTGAACTAAGCTGTTAGTGAGCTGCTTTCCATTAAAAACAGTAGCCTGAGCTTAGTGTGCAGGTTTACCAAGAGAATAAATGCATTATTCAGTTGAACTTATCAGTTTTGGTTGTCTAAATATTTACCCATTTTAACAGTACCTGGTTCTAGGAAAGAACAGTTCTTGATGCTGAACAATTAAACATGAGATAGCGTGATGTTTACCAGGTATCTTACACTGTTTAATGTCATTGTGCCAATAAAAAACTCACTTAGAGTAGCTGCAGCAAAGATAACATGAAGGAATTTTAAGATCTACATAGATTTTAATACATGCTTTTAAGATAAAGTGATAATCGTTTATATAGAAATGGTTT